GTATTTCAGCGAGGAAATTCCGCGAGTAAATAGAGAAGTTGGCCTGGTGTATGAGACGCTAACGAGCCGGCGAAACTTTGCAGTTACCTCGGCGAGGTTGATCCAAGTGGCCGCCTTTCACGTTTCCGTTTTTCCAACTTCCGCGGCGACAACTCCTCGACTTATCGCGGCAATTAGAGATCGATCAACGCGGCCACGCTTCGCCACGATTCTCTAATTGGCCACGGAAACGGAGATACTCATCGATCACGACGATTACAAGGACGATTATAACTCGGCTATGAGGAAAAGGCTGGGTCTTCCTCGATGCGCGATTACTCTATCGGATGCGAGTTTCGCGCTTGCAGGAGAGAGAGAGAGAAAGTTGGAGGTTGGTAACGCTTGTTCCTCGAATGATAACTTGTTTCCAACCGGTGGAAGTGGACGATTAGCGGGGCGATTTGCGGACGATCGATCGCTGGCCGATTTGTAAGAAACGTTGCTCCTTAGTGGAAGCGAAAGAATAGTTAAGACTATTTTTCTTGCACTAAATTGAATATTAAAATGGCAATGTTGTGATTCTAACAGGGGATACAAACTTCTCATAAGCTTCTCGTAAATCATTTGTACGATGACTTTCTTTTCCCTTTCATTATTTTTAAAAAATTATTTAAAAAGAATTTGTTGTTGCAGTATAATACAAATTTGTTTAAACTATGCCCCCCGTAATTAAAAGACGATTATCTCGAAAATCAACTTATTCCATCCATCCAAAGAATCCAAAGAATCTAAAACTTGTTCTAAAGGAAGCAAACTTGGAGATCTTCGAGATTCTTTAAGCGTAATGGCCATTTCTCTGGGTATGGAGTGTGAAAAAAGATCAGAGACAACAAAGGGGCAGCTCTAAGCGACGATCGCAGTTCGGATTTACGATCAAAGAAATCGCGGATGTCTCGAGGCAATCAAGGTCCGCTGGTAAATCCCACGGGCGGTGCACGGTGCTCGAGAGGTCGATCCGCGAGAGGAGAGAGAGAGAGGGAGGGAGAGAGAGATCGTCTGCGGAATTATTTAATTTCCATCCCTTCTGCCGGAGCACTTCTCCGCTCCTCGAGGATGGAACTTTCCGGCGGAATCGTTAGCGCGGCCTCGCAGACAGGACTCTCGCCGGATTCTCGGAAAACTGAATAAAACTCGCGTCGTTTCGAGGGTGGTGGCTGCCGCGTTCGGTAAGAGGGTGGAACGAGGAGGACACCCTTTATAGGGTGTGCTGGAAATATACCGTTCGACGAACGTGAAACGGACAAAAGTTGCGCGGAAAGAAAGAAAGGTTTTTCGTCGGGGTTAAAGGGGGGAAAAAAATTTATTTCTTTCTTTATTTCTTTCTTCCTTTTGCAGTGTCGCTTTATTCGAATTTTTGCCAGAGGAAATGGTTAATTAAGAACCTCGTGTTCCATTGGAATTTGGATAATGGCTCTGTTCGACGCGCGAATCATTCCAGATTTAATTTTGGTATGAATTCATCTCATAATCCATTCTACTAATTCTGTAGATTTTTAGAGGTTTTCTATGGATCTAATCAAAAAGTGTCTTTCATGTTTCTTTCATCTCAAGAAAGGTGGATCTATGGAAAAATGTATCCACAATTTTTTAAGCTAACTTGTTAAACAATAATTAAAACACTTCTACCAGTATTTCTGACAGGGAATATTACATCGAAAATTCCACTCAATTTTTCGCAAAAAAAAAAAGGAAGAAGACTTCGATTAATCACGAGATCCCTCATCGAAAAACCAATCAACCCTACTTCGCATTAATCGAACATTCTTCCCTATCTCATCCCGAGTCCGATTACCTCCAAATCGCCCCCAAACCAGCCCTAAATCTCGAAAGCCCAACTTCTCCTCATCCACAAAATCTCCAACCTTCCGCAAGCTACCAGAACTACCCCCAGAACGCTTGTGAAACCTCACCCTCGCGGTCCCAACTTCTCGACACACCTTGTAGACCCCTCCGGTCTCCGGTTAGGAAAAATGCAGCCTACTGGATGGGTAGTCAGGACGGCGCCGAGGACGACGACGACGACGACGACGACGACGACGACGAGTTGATAATTGGACGCCTCGTTACTCCGCGTTACTCTCACCCCCTCGAGAAGTTTATTCTTGGCCGCTCGAAAAAACATTCGCGGCCGCCTGTTTAAATCGCGGGCCGGTGGCGGGCCAAAGCGGAAGTCGGTTCGT